GGCATGGGGAGCCTCACTAGGAATGGCTATGAATATTCTTGTATCGGGTTAATGTCATGTAAATGTAACAAATTCATATTGTTTTTTTGCGAGAATCATATATCGACTAATTTAGTTGATGGACTTGTTAAATAAATTCACTTAATTATCAAGGCTAAAACCAAACTTGTTAATTCCATATTGTATCAGTTGCCATGGCACCATTCCTAGTATGCAGTATTACTCAGATTCTCTTTTAAGTCGGCTGTCCAGTTCGTCTAGGCCTCTGCCTGGAAAAACTGACCATAGCATGAGCATCAGTTTTGCTGGGCAATCTGAATTTACAATAGCCACTGTTTCTCCAAACAGATGATGCCCAAGCTCAAGACTAGTCCCCCAGACACAAAATTCTGCTGCCATATAGGATCAGATTGAGGGGGTCTATAATCAAAGTACACAAACTCCATTGCCAGCCCAGGACAATCCTTACCAGATCCACGGGTTAGGTTTCGAAACTTCCCCACCCCTCACGCACAAAGTTCTTACTACTAGGGGGGTAAAAAATTACACAAAAATACGTTGTGGATCAAAATAATAATTTATTTCACTGTTTCTGAAATTAATAAAGCGTCCATGAATGGTTCCATACATGTCATTGACAATAAATCATCACAGTACAGCACAATAACAACAAAATGAAGCCACAGTTCACATACCTATTCTATTAAGAACCCATGTGAACACTTTACCATGACACCCAACAAAAGTATACAAACAAAATGAAGGAACAAAAGAAAGAGATCTCTCGAGTTTTCATGTACTACTCCCCTCCTTCAGACACAGAACATAGTACAACATGACTTAAACCCTGTATGTGATTTTGAAACCTGAATTTCTTGTCTATTTACACAAGGGCAAGCATCAGAAGTGGGGAAGAGCTTACCTCAACATGATGTCCAAATGATCTAGCAGTTGATGCCACATTGACCATTTGAAGCAGCTTTTGTGGAGGCTGAGGTAAAGGGATCAATTCGAACCCATAGAAGGGAGAATATAGAAGCAAGGAGAACAGACCAGACAATGACAATGGTAGGGGTACGATTTTGCCGGCCTAACAAACCTTTGAGGAAGGGATATAGGTGGACAACAACCCAAAGGGCGAAGAACAACCTGCCGAACAGAGGACCCCATGACTGGTATCCACTGTTTATGGCATAGGAAACACCAGCCACCATACCTACCAAGTTCAAAATAAGGACTGTGGTTGGAGGGATGAGAAGAGATGTCCACTTGAATACATAAAGCTCCGAAAACTCTCCATCCTCATCAGATGCCTTTGAAGTGACGGTGAAGTTGGTATCAATCCCGGCAAGCACTTTCAATAGACCTTGGAAGACGGCAAACAGATGGGCTGATGTGCCACCAATGACCCAGAACTGTTCATTTCGCCACCAGTCTTCAATACCCACACCACTCCACCTAAGCTCCAGTATGCCGGTAGCAAAAATAGAGATGAAGAGAAGAATAAACCACATACTAGCAAAGTTGCTTATCTGCAGAGAAATTGTAACATATTTAGTGAGGACTGCGAAGTAGCAATCGCAAGGTCTCCAATTTCCAAGCTAACCTGCACTATTGCCCAATAAGGACTGACATGCCCATGATCTCATTCAAGAAATAGAATAGTGATTATATTAAGAAAATAACTTTGTGCTTTCAAGACGTGAAAAGCATGTCAATGCGAAAGGAGATTAGCGGCACCAGAGATGTCCAACAAGGAACTAAAATAAAAAATAGGGGCGTGAAATTAATAAAAAAGGAGAAATCAAACAGAAGTGAATAGTTACATACATCCAGAATATTCTAAACCGACCACAGAAAGGAAAAAGAAGAAAAAGGAACAGCTTTTGCATTTTAATAAATTTTCAGTCCTTGTAGTCAGGTATTTGGAATATGGTGACCAGGTGGATTACCAAATGCACTGGCAGCTAGATCCAAACTACATGCCTTTGGCCAAAATTTGGGGCTTACCAAACAGTATCCACTGTTCTAGTGAATACACATGTAAGCAGAGAAATTGAACTGACCAACCATAGATTGATGCTTAAAAGATGCACTAGATTCATTTCAACCAACCAATGTGAAATTCATCACTTACCTGAGGAATGATAAACTTTCCAGTAAGAAGACAGATAGCAGGAAGTATGCAGTAAGCAAGCAGTGGAATAGAGGTGAGGGGATAGACAATGGTGTTAATGTATGCGATCCTCTCCAAAAGCTTCAGTCTTCCAGTGTAGCCATACCATATTGGGCAATGCCTGCTCAGAAGAATTTCAATTGATCCCAAAGCCCATCGAAGGACCTGGTTCAAACGATCAGAAAGATTGATGGGAGCAGACCCCTTAAATGCTGGACGGGGAGGCATGCAATAGATTGATATCCATCCCCGTGCGTGCATCTTAAACCCAGTCAAAATATCTTCAGTCACAGAACCGTAGATCCAACCGATCTGATTGTGAAGAAAAATCTCACTCAATTCAAATTTCAAATTGCAAATACAATTTGTAAAAGAAACCAAATACAGGTTTAGATGCCACATTAGTATCATCAATACCTCTTTGCCCCACTCAGTCTTGTCCTCATATCCACAGCTAATAACGTGGATTGCTTCTTTTAAAAGAGTTGCAGGATTAGTTGTTGGTGGAATCCCTCCCTGCTCCATGAAGGTGGCAGCAATAAACACCGGAGATTGACCAAACCGCTTTTCTAAGCTCTTCTGAGACATAAGAAGCGACTTCTCATCATCATATCCTGTAAAATACAAGGAAAGGACTCAACATAAATAGCCTGAAAGCAGCAAGTCACTGAAAATATCTCAATCGCCTTGTTTCTGTACCATTCTGAGCATTGACTTGGTGGTTAGTATATCTCACCTAAGTATACATTGGCCCACGGAGACCAGTGTGCCACATCAGCTTTACCGTTGAAATAGGTTGAAAATTCAACTTAGGAAAAATAGAAATAGGTTACAAATTTTCAATGTTTTGGAAAGCTTTTGTTGAATTACTGGAAGGGAAAACCTCCAGTGGAAAGTAGTAAAAAATGGTTAACATTACTCAAAAACATAATGTTGCATCTAAATATACATGTATACATAAACATACCCTCATAGATTGGGAGATATTGCAAGTAAGTGGTGAATAAAACCTCCAAATAAAAGAATCATAACGAACAAAAATTCAAAAGCTTGATCCGAAATCTATCTGCCCTTTCAACAGTGAATGTGCGGGTGAGTGGATGCAGGTGTGTTGGTGCATGTGTAATTTTAAGTCTTCGGCCCAATTGATAGAAGTTAATTGGTTTGCAGCTTCTGTTAATTCAAAAGAGAAGTGAACTTATTACAAGAACCTACCTTCGACACCCTCATCAATATCTTCCATATTGAAAATGGGAATGGTGGATTCAGTTCTTTTAATTGCTCTCTTCTTATCAATGTACTTCTTGTTGCCATTCCTTCCCTTTTTCCTTGAGCCACAACAACTCTTGACAATAATGTTTGGTTCCAAATCTGCCTCCGTTAAGACTGGATCATACCCATACAGAGCTTGCCTGTTGAAACAACATCCAGTTCCCACGTAGACTGGACCCTGAATGCCATCCTGCCCTTTCATGTTGATCTGCAAATCCATTTAAGTTAAAAATGAATTCAATTATAAGCATAACAAAAAATAATGCAGTCAGAACAGTTGCAAGGGTGGTGTCAGATTAAGTGAACTTACATCAAAGAAGACAATATTGCGATTTGCATATCGATCATGCAAGTCAATGCCATCAAACCGTTGGGGGAACTGAACATAACAAGTTTTCCTTCCAAGGGCAGGATCCATCAAAAAACACATAGCTTCTTTAAGAGCTTTACTGTTATTAAAGTAGTGATCACAATCGACATTCAAAAGATATGCACCATTGGTAAGGACGGCAGAAACTCGAATCTGTAGAACACAAACAAAAGAATAATTTGTTGATTAGCAAAAGAGATATGAAATTGGTTTTAAAGTTTATATTTAAGGGGAATGGGGCACAGGCAACTGCTTACATTCAACTGCCAAAAAAAAAAAAGGTTCCATGGATCATCCACATGTTTTTCATTGTAAGTTAAGCCAGCATCCTATGTACAATTGATGTGGCAGTGTGATTAATCGCAAAAATAATAAGAGCAACTCATTAAAAATAGGAAACTAGCTTTAACTAGACCTGGAACTGAAAACGCTAAAAAGCATCTGTTTTTTGGTGGTCCCACAGGTCCCATCCAATAATGGGTACTAAAAAAGTCAATTCAAACCATCAGACCAACATTGGATTCCTATATGGTACCTAATATGCATAACCTGATCATGTCTAAGAAGTAGTATTACAATAATATAGGTGCAAAGTTACTGCACCATCTATATCGGCAGACAACTTTGTTATTACAAATCATGTTCAGGACAAGATTGCTAAGTGCACAACAGCTATGGGGATCACTAACCAAAGCATTCATAGCTCCAGCTTTTTTGTGATGTTGGAAGCCTGGACGCTTTTCACGAGAAACATAAACAAGGCGTGGTAGCTCATTCCCATCTGTATCAAGGCCCCCACTATGCCCTAAGAACACCTGCCCACTCATCAAAACAAAGAAAAAATTAGAAACAAAAGAAAAAGTAAAGAGGCTTGATGTTAAGAGACATTCAATAACATCCACAATACCTGGATCATTCCTGGATGATCCCTTGGGTTATTTCCGGGCCAAGGAGTTCCATCTTGCATCGTCCAGCCCTCTTCAGGCATCTTTTGTGCTTTAGCAACAAGTGCATTGATTCGTACCTTGAATTCTTCGTATTCTCTCTGTGGAACAAGAAGTTTACCTTGCTTTTAGTTTAAAGAAAGAAAATCAAATGTTGCCACAGCATTTAATAAATTTATGGACAATGCCTGAGGATTTTGAAATTGCACAGAACTGAATTCCTTTTAACAACATAACAAAAGCTACAGTACTCCTTTAATGACCCCAATAAATTCATGACTTAACTCATAGTAAATGATGAAACCACCCTGAAGCAGTTTGGAAAGAAAGCTTATGAATCACAAGGACATTACACCACTTTGGCTCCACCTCCGGAGGACCATGTCCGTATAAAGGAATCTTGTTATTCAATAAAAATAATAGCAAAATCTAAAAGGGCTCAATATATTTACTCTAAATTTTTTTTTGCTTTTTTTTTTTTTTTTAACCCTCATTTCTATAGAATTATGGATGAGTTTTTGATTGCAACGCAAAGTATTAACCGCTTCCAATTAAGTTCTGAATTTAACATATCATGCTTAAAGTACAACTAGCAACCTTCAAAGAGTATATTCAGCATGCTTATCCAACACACAAGAACCATCATCACTCAACTAATCTCGTACCTTCATGGCCCTGCGCTCTTTCACAAAAGAAGGCTGTATCTTGTCCTTCAGATAATCTATCTTCTGAGCAAAATAGAATTCAGGGGCTCTAGGCTCAATGTTGTGCTTCTTGCAGAAGGGCACCCATTTCCTTGCAAACTCTGCCGTCTCAGAGAGGGCTTCAAAAGTTAACATTGCTGAACCATCATCTGAAACATAACATGAGACTTTGTCGACAGGGTAATCCACGGCAAGGATGGACAATACAGTGTTGGCAGTAACCAGAGGAGGCTCTTTCAGGGGATCCACTGTACTGACAAATACATCAATCGGTGCTAACTGAGAAGGCTCACCTTCCCTATCATATCTGGAAAAGTAAAATAATAAATAATTTGGCAATGAAACCAATCCCACAGAGATCTCTGTAGAATAGAAACCCATAACAACTACATGTGGGGTGTTTTGCAACTAAAATAAATCCACCGACCTTAACGCAAGCCTGTCCAGATAGGTCTCGCGATTGATGGGAAACCACTTTGGAAACTGATCCAGAAGCCACGAGAATGCAAACCAAACCTCACAAATTACTGATGTCAGCCACAAGGGATAAGCATCATTCACTGGATGAGTACACCGGTATTGCAAGAAAAAGCCCAAGATAATCAACCGAAGTATGATTATTACACGATAAGGGGTTAGGTGGGAAGAAGAAATAGGCACCACACGGCTCAAAGGTTGGCGAGCATCATCAGCCCTGACACAAAGAACCTATCAATATTCTGGAGATATGTTTAGAAATTATGGTTACTTGACAAAATAATATTCCATTTTTTTTCCTTCCACAACACGTGATGGTAAAATCCCATAGCAATACTAAGCAATAAAAAATGAGCAATGAAGTTGGCAAAACGATAGTAACCTATATTGTTGAGTTGTAAATAAATATCAAGTTAATAACAAATACCAATGATGTATCATTTACTCATATTCTAAACCCACCCTAATGCATGACCCACCAAAATAATGGAATACATTAGATTCATTTCAAATTTTCTTGGGTAAAATTATACGCCTCCCAGAAGCAAGTTGAAAAAAAAGGGAAGCCTAGTCAAAGAGGCTCCCAACAAATAGTTGCATTCTCATGTGCTTTGAAACATGTCTTCACTCATCTGTGAGAGAAAAAAAAAAAGGCAACCCAGTGGACGGGGCTCCCACCAAATAATTGCATTCTCATGCGATTTCAAATATGTCTTCACTCATCTGTGACATTTTTTTTCATCTGTGACATTTTTGATAGGCAATTTACCCAAAATCTAGAGAAACTTCAGGAGTAAGATGCTCACATTTGCAATTCTTCTCCATTTGACCCTGTGCCTTCAATGTCTCCTTTCCCTTCACTGTTTCTGTTGGTCATTTGCATCATATTTTTCTCCTGTTTCATTTTCCAACCTTCTACCCTTTCCTTCCAGTCCACATTGCCAAGGCCATAAGAATTCAAATCTTTTGAAGGATCCACAATTCTCACAGGAACTGCAAAGATACATGACAAGATCAAATGATTGCAATTCAAACCAAACAATCATACAAATAGTACAAAAGAAAATTTCTGATTGAGCAATTGACGGATTCTAGTTAAAAAGGTCCCACAATTCTTACAGGAGCTGCCCAGAAATGTGGCATGATCAAATGAATCTCAATTGAAAAGATAAAATCATTGGACGATTTTCAATCAAGAGATTCAAATTAGGGGTGTACCTGGCTGCCTTGGATCGATATATTGAAGTGAGTGAACATGCTTGTCGCTAGGGCCCAAAGGACCTGAGGTACTTCGTACAGATTGCGTGTCTGGTGTAGCAATGGGAATTTCGCCAGATACCTGAAATTTTTGGCAAGATGATCGGCAAAAAGTTTTAAAACTGAAGACTTTCCAGGAATGATAGCATGAATTTGTGGTATTAAATGACATTGCAATCTTGAACAAAACTGCTTGTCATTGTCATGAGTTAATCACAAAAGGAAACTTGATAAAAAAATAATATCGTTCCCAACTACAAATGAAAGGGAGTTTTTGCAGAATTGTACGTAAATACCCATTGCGATAATGCTCCTACCAAGTAGCTGTTTTTGGAAGTTGACCAATTCTCAGTGACTAAATATGATATTTCCAATACAAAATCCTTTACAATCAAGCCAGGTAAACCAATTGGACTCGACCATGCAGCAACTAATTTTCAAATACAAAAAACTGTTCAAAGAACACATCCAATGGGCTCTAAATCATGCATTGCTTAGAATCAATGATCATTCTAACTTCAGAGGTCATACTGCAATTCAAACTTAAGAACCCAAGTTTTCAAGAAAGGTGCAAGATTCTAGCACATTTGTTGGGACTAGAAACAAAGAAAGCAAAACTGAGAAAAGCCAAATGCAATATCATTCGAACACCAAACAATAGAGAAGGCGGCAAAACTTAAAAGGAAAATAGCATCACTCAGAAGCATGTCCAGAGAACAAAACACACAATAATCCTTGTATAAAAACATCATAGTTTTTATCACTTACTGGCTGCCCATTTGTAAGAAGGGGAATCGGTTGCTGAGATTCATGCCTAGAGGATGAAGAGAGGTCAGCATCTTCTCCCTGCCACTGGCGTCTGGCTTTGCTGTTTCCTTGAGCATAATTAAACTCATTCTCCAGGTCATCAACATCATCTTCATCATCATCACCTTCAACTCGAGGACTTCCTGAAATTTACACATCTAATTACTTCATTTCCAAATCCCAAATGTTTATAAGACAAAATTATGAGACAGGAGGATCAAGAGCCAATTTTCAAATCAAGCTAACCTTTCTGTCTTTTGTATCTAGTCTTGCACTGGGGACAGGACTGATTTCCATCTTTCCGCTCATACTCATAGCAAGGCCGGCAAACTGGGAAGGCACACTCATTGCAGGCAACAAATACATCACCGGTAGCAGTAAATCCAACAGTATCTCCACAAATCTGACATATCTGTCCATTCAAATGCTTCATCGGCTTGGGCTGCAAAATAGAAGTAATGCACTAAGTTAGTGTGACAGAGTATAACATTACCTAAGGTAGACACACAAACTGCAACCAAGCTTTGCTCAAGATCTTATCAAGCGCCATATTCAGAAACTGAGCAATCTATAAGGGGGGCAATGACTGGCCCATTTACTTACGCCCACCCTCAATTTATCCAGATGAAACTTTTTAAATTGCTTACTAATATTGGTTTTGCATGCACCCTAGAACACTCCACCTCTGAAACCTCTATGCAATGCAACTAAGTAGCTGAAAAGGGGTGAAAGCATTACAAATAAGTCAACCCAGCCTAATTTCTCATCTACCATATTTAGTGAATAACCTTAAAACTTGAACAACACAAACCCCTGTAGCAAACAGCCAATGATCTCAAATTAATTCATAGCAATATGCAGAGGTGTAAGCAGATCTCAGAAAACGCAAAGATAAGAGACAGAGAAGGAAAGTGACAATCTTGCTTAGATGATAGCGGATACAGTTCAGATTCCCCAGTAAAGGCAATAACTCGATGAACTAAATTATCAAGATTTCAGCTAAAATCAGTAAATAGATTGGGAAAAAGGCACATTGAAACTAGATCCAATCATCAAAACCTCAGCTTTTTTGGCATATTAACAGTCATATTTGAAGAGAAAAGTAGACTTTAAAAAAACTCACGGAAAAAGAGGCTATATTTTATAGTAAACACTAAAATCACGTCATAAACAAACAGTTTCCACAAGATCAGAGCTCCAAGAAAACCAAATTTGAACCTCAACCGTAAAATCACCAAATTCAATTGCTTTTCTTTCCATTAAGAAAGAAGAAAGAAAACAATAACTCTAACTTTGAGCTCAAATCTCACTATCATACAGCTATCTCACATCCAAATCTGGAAATGCTAACCAAATAAATGAAAAGAGAAGCCCTCAATTCAACAAATTCAAGAGTCAAAATCAAAATTAACCCGTACCCATTTCATTATTCCATAAAAAACCTATATTACTACAACCAACACTCAGATTTACACACAATGACACAACATTTAAAGCAGAAACTGAAGAAAATGCTAACAAAAGCCAACTTTGGACTTAGAATCAAAATCAACCAGTACCCACATGGCGACATCCAGATTCAATCCAAAAAACCGAACTTGAGCCCAAAATTCAGTTCAACACAAGAACACACTCAGATCTAAACCCACCAATAATAAATAAATCAAACAATTATAAACTCAAAATCCAAATGGGTATCTCCAAAATCCATACCCCACTATCCGAATCGTGCCGAATTCGAACAAACTCGTTCCTCTTGTGAGATCCAGCCAGCATTCCAACACTTGCCTCCATTTCTCTCCAAGAAACAGAGGATTACAATGTAAAAACGTTTATAAATTTATGGGTTTATGAACAGATCTTTAAAAAAAAATCAGGGACTGTAAGAGACACGTTTCTGCTCAAATGGAGAGTGAATTTGAGCAAAATGTGAAGATGGGCATGTCTGATTCTTCACCCAATCAATAGGCCATTGCTCTCTCTCTCTCTCTCTCTTTCTCTCTCTCTCTCTCTCACTTCTATATAAGCTTTTGTCTTTCTGTGCAATTATTTTATCAGGCATTGTTTTCTCTAATCCAACGTAAGGATTCTTTACCGGCTGAACCTGTGGCAGGGACCAACCGCAGCTAGGCTTTGGCTTTGGGTTATGGGATGAATTGTGGACACCTCCATATTCTGATTGGGTGGCCAATCCTTGTACTCAACTCTTTATAACAACTTGTTGACCTTTTAACCCATCCGATGACGTGGCCGTAATCCATTAATTGACAGTCAACGTCAGACACCTACAAACTCTTTACTCTCATAAGCACTTAACTAGCAACAGTTTACATATTTCGTGCTGTTAACAGCATGGGCTTCAAACTTTACCGGTTGTAGCCGGTTGCTCTCCTCCGACCCAACTTAAGTTGCTGTCGGTGATATTTTGCCTTGTCTCAAATTGCACTTCTTTTTGAACTCAAATTACAAATTAGCCCACTTGTTGTAAGGAATAAAAAAGAAAGAGAATAAAAATATGCAAAAAATATATATATATATATTGTCTCTAAATTGTATATTTATTGTTAATTGATATTTAATCCTTCAATTGTGTCAATTTAATCTTCTAAATTTATAATTTATATTATTTTGGTCCAATTAAAAATAACAGTTAAAATTGATTAACAGAGATACTCGCATATGTCTCATGCGGTTAAATTTAAGGGTTCACTTTGATTCTTTAAGTTTATAATCTCGTCATTTTGACCCGTCACGTTTGTAATTTGTGTTTTTTTAATCCCTTAAGTTTTCAGACTGTCCTTCAATTCATGTACATGTCTATCACTATTAGTCCATGCGGATCGTAATTTACACTAAACTAACACAAATTAAATACTTGCGAGATTAAATTGACACAATTGAAAGATTATGACCAAACCAACACAAAATACATAATTTAGTGATCAAAATTATGTTTCAAGTGGTTCAGTCTTCGCCATTGATACAAGTTGAAGGCGATATCTTCCAACACGCTTTTAATAATCGACTTATAAGAAAAGAGTATATATAAACTCATACATATAAATCCAAACTCACATAGTTAATCAACTTGAAACAATTAGAATCATTCCATAATGCAACGCTTTCGTAATTGACGTCAATATAGGTCCGATCCACTCTATTGATATTGGTTTGGCATTATGATCCTTTTCTCACAAAGCTTACCACTGTTATTAATTTAGCATATTGATCGCCCTTTTACGACAACAACCACATAGTCACATTGTTACGGTTCATATTTTTTCGATTCTATACTCCACGTGGTACCAATATCTCACACTAAACTATATAAATCATGTGTAAAGTTACCCTTGACAACAAGCTTATAAACATGAGAATGCCTAAAAACTCAGATACATGTAAAAAAACTCATGTTTAACTGATGTGAAAAAAATTAAGACAATAAGAAAAAAACATTCTGGAAAAAAAAATGTTTCTGATGACGTATGATATGCACAACTGGTTATAATTTAGAGTGGTTGTATAATTGGAATGCAGGGAAGTGTTAGATTGATGGTCTATTTGATGCAGGAATAGGGCACCAAGTCAAACTATTAGGTTGTTAGTCTATTTGATAGATGGATAGTCTTGTACCCTCAAAGCACGCTTTAATAATCTCCAAGTCTTTACAAAATTTGAATGTATAAGCTCGAACAAAATTTTTCCCTCGACTCTTACAAGTGATTGGCTTCTACCGGTACTTACACGAATTAATTAATAAAACTATGAATTTAATATAAGAAATTTTAATAATTTGTATATGAAATTTAGAACACCTAAATTACAGGGTTTAAAAATATACATGTATGAGCCATGATACTCAATCTCTAAATTTCTTTCACAAAAAGGCAAGATCTTCCTCTTTTCCTTTAGAGCAGTAGACAGCTCTCAATGGGACAAGTCAAATTAGGGTTATAAAGTGGAGAGGGGACCTAACTTGCTATTTATGATGAAATCTGATGGGCTCTCCTATTATGGATCACAATTAGATTAAGACCTACACTTAATCGTCTCAACCACATCAATTAAAAAGATGTAAATAAGCTCATCAAAATAGATCATTTAATAATATTGGGCTCATTTCATTGGACCATAAAATCAACCTGTTTTTTACAAACAAAAAATTAACTATTAATTAATGGAAATCTAATATGGAAAAAATGTTAACATTCTCCCACTTGGACAACATTAATTGTAGTCATTTAAAAAATAAAATAAAATTATTTGTTTGAAAAATGACTAGCGGACTAATCAAACAAAACTCAATGTGGCCACAATAAAAGTATAGTCCTGAAACAACATCTCAAACACAACCTGATCCAATAAAACTATTATTTCGAACCATGGCGGGTTTTTCATCTTTTATTGACATTGGACCAATCCATGAATACAAAAACAATAATCCTATTGACATGGATCAAGATGTGATAGTGTAACAAGAAATCCCACTTGGACAACATTAATTGTAGTCATTTAAAAAATAAAATAAAATTATTTGTTTGAAAAATGACTAGCGGACTAATCAAACAAAACTCAATGTGGCCACAATAAAAGTATGGTCCTGAAACAACATCTCAAACACAACCTGATCCAATAAAAACTATTATTTCGAACCATGGCGGGTTTTTCATCTTTTATTGACATTGGACCAATCCATGAATACAAAAACAATAATCCTATTGACATGGATCAAGATGTGATAGTGTAACAAGAACATAAAATCTCAATATGTAATCAGATAAACATGTTATTTTTATTGTTAGTCATTCAAATAATTTCTCTTTAACAACATGTTTCAACAGTTAATTAGAGAAATCTATCAGCTTCAACAATAAGCTAGTATGTCTTCAACTTAAAATTTCAAGATTTTCTCAAATGGTGTAATTAAAGACGTACTCCATTGGTAAAATAGTCATACTTAAAACATACATCAAACTTTAAGATTTTGTATAAATTGACATGTCATAAATGTGCACACATATAACATAACAATAATATCGTGTTAACAATAAGGATAATCATCTAAATATTTATTATTCATCAAATAGATGTATCTCAACCATAATGAGTATTAAATATGACATAAATAAACTCCCACTAACCAAGTACATCAAAAGACCCAAAATGCCCATATTGTCAACATGTTTCTTAAAAGTTACATGTCTCATTTCCTTGGTTAAAGGATCAGCAAGCATTGATTCTATATCAATATGNCCCATATTGTCAACATGTTTCTTAAAAGTTACATGTCTCATTTCCTTGGTTAAAGGATCAGCAAGCATTGATTCTATATCAATATGTTCGATCACAATATCATATTTCTTCACAAGATCCCAAACAGAAAAATATTTAATTTTCATATATTTAGACCCACTAGGATGTTTGTTGTTCTTTGAGAAGAACACAATTGCACTATTATCACAATCAATTGTTAATGGTCTAGAGATAGAATCAATAATCATAAGTCCTAAAATAAAATTTCTTAGCCATATAGCTTGTGTTGCAGCTCCATAACAAACTATAAATTCAACTTGCATAGTAGAAGAAGCTATGAGAGTTTGTTTAACATTCTTCCATGCTATTGCTCCTTAAGCTAATATTAAAATATATCCTTAAGTGAATTTTAAATCATCCTGATACCCAGCAAAATCTAAATTTGAGTAACCAATCACCTCAAGACTATCAACTCTCCTATAAACTAGCATGTAAATTTTTGTTCTTTGCAAGTATCTCATAACTTTCTTTGCTTTCACCCAATTATCTAATCCTGGTTTAGAAAGATATCTGTCAAGAACACTAACTGCAAAAGCAATGTCAGGCCTGGTACAAACTTGTGTATACATTAAACTGCCAACAACACTCACATAAGGTATATTCTTTACAAATGCCTCCTCAAGATCATTATTGGGGTATTAACTTAGACTAAATTTATCACCTTTCACAACAGGTACATCTTCAAACTTATAATTATGCAAATTAAATCTTTCAAACACACAATCTATTTATGCCCTTTGAAAAAGTCTTAACAAGTCACGACTCTTATCCTGATGAATTTGAATGTCTAATACAAAAGATGTTTCCCCCAAGATCTTTTATGTCAAATGTTTTGCACAACAATTTATTAATCTCATGAAGTAAGCTCAAATCATTACTTACAAGCAAAATATCATCAACATAAAGAATAAGAAAAATAAATTTGTTCCCACTGACCTTAAGATATATGCATTGATCCATCTTGTTATCAACAAAATCAAGAAAACTTATTGTCTCATCAAATTTCAAGTACTACTGATGAGAAGCCTGTTTGAGATCATAGATAGACTTCTTCAATTTGCAAACTAATTGTTATTTTTCATTCTCCTTACAATCCTTAGGCTGCATCATATAAACTTCTTCGCTAAGCTCTGTACAAACAGAAGGTCCTTCTACCAATTCTTCCTCATTTACATTGTTCATCGGCTAGCAGAGAGCTCTTGTACCGGTTCATACTCATTTTGTACCGGTACAGGTGAAAAAAAACGAGAAAACATGACTTATTTGAAAATTTCAATTGGCCAAATCGTAAGAGATTTTTTCCAGAAGGGTGATAGACATAAAGAATAAGGAGAGGATCTAGGAGATGATGGAGTATCTCTCTCCTTCTGTTCTCTCTTCTAAAATCGAAAAAATCAGAGGATTTATATATATCTTGTTGGGACATTCTATAGGAAGGCAGTTCTTTAGCATTTTTCTTCTAGGGCATTATCTTCTGGAGTGTAGCCTCTCTTCACTGTTTCTTCTCTAGCAAAGCATAGAGTATTTTTCATCTTTCATTTGTTTTCATTGTTAGCCTAATTACAGAGTACTTTCAATTTCTTATTTTTGCAATAATATTTGGTTCTTGATTTAGATATGAAAAATCCCACTTTGCACCCTAAAAGATATCAAAATTTCCAATTTGTACCCCCAAAAGTTTGATTTTTCCGCATTGCACCC